GGCCACAGACCAACATCTTCACATGCAAATTGTGTGCATGAGTTATTTTTATAATTCTGTTTACTAGATTACTGTGTGATAACTCGAATTCCCTCACGTACGAACCACGAAACTGGGCAAAGTCCAACACTTTCACGTGCCAGCTGTGTGACTGTACATCTCATGCAGATTGGCTTTTCACAATGATAAATAGTAACTTGGACGTATGAAGACCTGTTTGGTTTTGTAACCAATGCCTTAAAAAGGCTCTTGTCTTTTGAGAAGCAATAGCTTTTAAAACATGAAGAAATAAGTTGCCGGAGTTAAAGACTGTTTCACTGAGTAGAATCGCACGTGAAAACCTCGTGAATTATGATGATGCAACCATCTACCACAATGATAAAAATCCTGGTATTTCGTAACTATTCAGTATTCGGTGAGTCACATTTTGGCTTAAGAAACTCCGAGGAAACCTTAGAGTTTTCCTTCTAATCAACGTATGGTGAGTAGAAATTTATTTCACTTTATTTGTTGAATTGCACCAGATGTAACAGGGAAAGACAGAGGAAAGTGAATATATAGCTTTAGGATCGACTCAGCTGAGCGTTTCGCGTTTTCATTTATGTACTGCAATACGCAACTTCGCTCAAAAACCCAATCTACATTTAGATGAAAGAGGTAGATTCATCACTCTTGGTAAGGTTACACCGAAGCATTAAAGTTACACTGACGCATTCAAAATAGCTCATGCACGTTTAACGTGCCTATGTTTTACAGATAACGGCCAAACAACAATATTGTCCATTTTTTACTGTGTTTCTAACCATAAAAACTTCATCCCAAAATATCTCGATAACGCTCTAACAGATTTCGCTTAAACTTCACGAACATCGAGGCCGCCATTGAAGGAAAAAGCTCTCGTGAACGATTTTGGAAGAACAGTTCCTAGTGCCGAGATATACTGCTGCAAGTAAAATAGGTAATAGCGTCATTTCGTTGCTATGACAACTCCGATGCCGTTGCAACCCTGATCATAACAAATTTTCATCTTTATCTAATACAACTGTGGTGGCAATTTTTTCAAAACTTTGTTTATGGCGACGTAGTTTATGCTCAAACTTGGGAGGTATTGGCCCTTGAAAACTGTATCGAGCCACCTTAAAGCGTTGGAGACGCAGGACACAGAGGTATCAAAATAGCTGAAGTGCGAGTGGCACAAGCTCCCGCTCTGAAAGCGACCACCTCGAGTCCTTCCTGAACAATGTCTCCATTGCAACAGTTCTTACCATCAATCCCCTAAGCGGCCTGCTCCGATAACGGGTACTTTCTCTGCTTCCCGAGGGAAACCACCATCGGGAGTTTCAACTATTACTCTACAGGGATAAGGGAGAGGGAAACCGGAAAAAAGCTCGACAGACGTTATGCTCATTTAAATCCACTTAAAAACTCGACGATAATAATTAACCAAACTGCTTTATTCTTTTTACATTACAATACTTTCATTCTTAGAAAATCTCTTTTGCGTGGCCTCTGCTTTCAACTTAACACAACCCGGACACAATGGACTCCACAAACAATTAATAGTTTTCAACTTTGGAATCAAATTGCTATACTAATGTAATAGCCCATCATTTAAAGCGAGTCAGTCAAACAAGCAGCCAGCAAACACTCCTTTGACCAAGATCAAATACTACCACAACCAACGGCACCACAAGAAAGTATTTTCCAACTGATTCCGTATGACAAAATAAATTAGTCGTTGACAGAAAATCTCACGCTGGCCAGTTAAGAAACTGCTCTATTTTATGACAGACTAGTACATTACAACGCATGCGTCAATGTCTCTGTTTTGTGATATATAAATATCAATTATCACTGAAATGTCTGTCTCCCTTGCAGCTGCTGCTGAGACTGTGGGTTCCAGGGAAAGAAAAAGAAGAAGAGGAAGAAGAAGAACAAAAAAACAGCTGCAAGAGAGACCAATGGCGTACAAATGTCCATCCCTGCAGTAGCAAGTTGCTGATGCCTGGATCTCTTTAATATAATTAATTTATCCCATGCCCTTGTGAGGCAGGTCGTGGACTGTGGACTGCAGAAGTCATTTTCACCCATGCGAACTTCAAACAACATCTCATCACTCGACATAACATCCACAATACACTTGGCAATGCATCTTTGTCCGAAGGTCAACAAAATAATACGTTGATCTCTGAAGTAATTGAAGTTCTGTGCACTGGAAGGAGAAATGAAGTGCCAGATCTTGCTTGAACACTTGCTGAACTATTAACAGGAGGTAAAATAGTTTCACACTTGCTGCATGCAGACGGCTTACAACAAAAGCCCTCAAGCTTGTAACTAGGTCAGTTCTTGTAACTTTATGCCAAAAGCTCCATCAAAATCTTCCTAACTCACTGAAGTTATGCTTTTTAATTTAGTTGTAAACGAGAAGCTACTGCTGAGGGGGTCCACGCCCACGCTGTCCTCCCCTGTCACCCCCACGGCCACCTCTGGGTGGACCTCCACGGTTACCTCGTCTTTGGTAATTATCCTGAAAAAAGAACAAAAAACAGTTTGTCATTCACCACACTTGCTTGGTACCCCGTGGTTGTCTTGGGTGCTCTGTGGCTTCCATAAGAGGAAAGTTTTGACATTGCAGAGGTTCCTCTGAGGAAACATAACATCAAAGGATACTGTCTGCTAGTAAATGGAGTAGAAAGCTTTATCAAAGGGTCTGGATAGCAGCAGACGAGTTATAATTTTACGAAAAACAACATTTCTGATACTGTCCTCTTCAGTTTGAATTGCGGAAGAGAAAAAAACTATATAACAATTATTAACAATAACACCAAGTACATTTAAAACTATCTTTATGGTCAAACATTATCACGTCCCTTTATTATGTTGTTATAGTTTTTTTTTCGCCGTTGCAATTCAACATACTTTGTATTTCACAATTTCAAACTGAAGATGACAGTTTAGCTGTCGAAACATGGCCTGTTCCAGGAGTTCAGATAGTAGGGCGCGGGAGAGAAATTCACGAACAAAAAAAAAAACGCCTGGAACAGGCTATCAAAAAATGTCATTTAGTATCAAAACCAACGTCTTTTTTGTTTCAAATTATTGTGAAAGTTTTCCAATATTTATACTACCACAGGAGAAATTTCTGCAATTTGATTGGCTTAGAGCAGTGGCATTTCTGCTTAATTTGAAATACCTACATGTGAAAATTACAAACCTTTTGCGGGTAGTAGTATAAACAAATAACAGCATGATTTGTACGTGATATTTGGCATAAATACCACTCATGATATTTCAAAATTGTTTCAAATTTCACTCATCTAACGGCTCGTGAAATTACGTGTAACAATTTTGAAACATCACTCGTGGTATTTATGCCAAATATAACTACAAATCATGCTATTACCTATACTAATTTTACCTGTTGCTGTTTAAATCCCCCCTCTCTTCCTCCTCTTTGTCCACCAAAGCCCCCTCTGCCTCCGCGCCTATTTCCTCTATCTCCAGGTGGGCCACCACGGCGATTGTAACCATCTCCTCTACGGAAGCCACCCCGGCCTCCGCGTCCACCGCGGGAGAAGCCAAAGCCATTAGAATGATTTACAGCATCAAAGCCACCTGTAGGATTAAAAAAGGTACCATTTGTAGAGGTTTAGCAGAGTAGAGAGACCTAACTGAACTCAGACTTAAACTGACCAACATACTACAACTGTATTAAACTACTGCCTACTTCAGCTAGCTCCTATGGCTTCCTCAAAAAAAAGAATGGAAAGTCTTTGTGTTAAGAAATATGCAAACCACTGTTCATCAAAGGAGGTCATTGTGGCTGCATAGTTAGCTTGAGAAAGCAGCTGATATTTTATGATCTTTCCACGGGTTTCCCCATTAAATGATAAGTGCAGAAATTCCATACTGACAACATATGATTTTATTATTACCACCCGGATATTAGTAGTGCTTCGGATTCGATGAAGTGAAATTCCCCTGCAGCAAAACCAATCAGAAACACTACCCAAATCTGAGTAGTGATACATCATTAGTATGGAATTTCTGCACTCGTTCTTCAGATAAATTCATTTTGTGAGGAAACCAATGTCCACTGTTTCCTGAGGCTACCGCAATAGTCAGTGAGCTGGACTTGCTACAGTTCAAGTTCTGCTCTGGTCACAAACTATCTGTGGCCATGATTACAGCAACCAACTGGTTTATTTCCTGCTGGTAGAGACTTTCAGTTATCTTAAATTATTTGATGACTATTTTAGTGTTGTAGCTGGAACAGCTACAACACTAAATGGATCAACCCTTATAATACAGTCATCTCTGTTGAAGAACACTTAGTAACCAGGGACAAGGCCATGATGAAGTATTAATTTTGAAAAAAACTTTAATACTGGACATCCTGGATTTCATATAATCTGCTGCAGTTCAATTTTAACCTTGGTAAAATTTTGTTTTGAGGTATGGTAGCATATGATAATGAGTTTAAAACAAAGGGAAACAAAATTTAAGCCAAGAATAAAATTGAACCACAACCTATCCATTTAGGCACCATACAATTATTTTATTCATTGATAGATTACACCATAAAGACTCGTAATAAAGGAAAATTATTACTATAGTAGGGCAGGCTAAAAGGAAATTTTAAAACAGATCAGTTCACTTACTTGTGTCATCTCCTTGTTCACCAGCATTTCCTTCACCCCCCTGTTCAATCCACCCTTCATCTCCACCCTGAGCAGCAAATCCGCTACTTTCAGGGGGGGCTCCTTCACTCAGATTTGCAGCGGGAGCTGATGGTTCTGCTACAGCCTTTGGTTTAGATTCCACTTCCGATTCACTCAAGAAATTCAGGCCATGTTCATTGGAAGCAACGGTTGCAACATTACCTCCTTCTTTTTCACCAGGGGCTGCAGTGTTTTCTCCATTAAAGTGAGTCTCGGTTGGTCCATTATTTGCCTCTGCCACCTAGATAAGTAATAGCATATTTTTAAAAAGGCATTCGTTCTGTTGGTAGGTCAAAAATCCTAACAATAAACATACAGGGTTGTATTCTGGAATAAGAATATGCAAAAGTTTTGGTGCCAATCTCTTGTATTGTGCTTTTTGGTCCTCTCAAACACTATAATCACTGAGATATCTTATTTCAAGCGGAAGCTTATTGCAAGTAGTGAATGCCAAAATGAGTGATTTCAAGAGTTCCAGACTACAGTCAATCAATCACACAAATGATACTAAGACCTAACCCTATCTATAGCTGAGGAGTTTAACTTTGCCTAAAAAATAATTATACATTCAGCCAAACATGAAGGGATTTTAAAATGTTATTCACATAATGCTCAGACTATTCCCCAACTTATTGTCAAATAATTTTTGACAATATTTTTACTCCACACTGTTATAAGTGTTGTTTTCTATAGACAAATTTATTGTTGGTTAGTACTCACTTCTGTTTGTTGGGCATTATCTCCAGTTCCTTCTTGATCAGCTTCAGTGTTCTCATTTTCAGCAGCTTCTTCCTCCTCTTCCTCCTCCTCCTCTTCATCACCTTGAGATTGTTCAAAATATCCACACTTGTTGATTGATGAAACAAGTTCATTAAGTGCCTTATCTTCACAGAGTAAAGGAAAAACAGGTACAGTAATGCGGCCTAAACAGGGTTTGTACTCCTTCGACCTCTTCAAATTCCATGACTTTCCATGACTATTTCCATGACTTTTTCAAGTTTTCCATGACCTAATGTTAAGCTGTCACTTTTGACAACTTTCCTTGTTTTAGCATAGTTTTTGACCTTAAACAGTTCAACAGACACAAACTCTCATGTCCACCAAAATGGGTGCTGTTCAGGCTGTCTAATTACTATCTTTATGTTATACTATCCTTGTTTTGACATCTGCAGTATCTAATTTATCAAACATAACCTAAATTTTTATGACTTTCCCGGACCAACAATTAAATTCCATGATTTTCCAGGCCTGGAAAATGAAGTTCTTAAATTCCATGAGTTTCCAGGTTTTCCATGACCTGTATGAACCCTGCTAAAAAATGACCACCTAAAATGTCACAATCTAATTCCTCACTGCAAGAGGTTTTAACCAGAGTCCAAAAGCTTCCACATCAGATAACACAGTAGGATTGCCATTATCGGTCTTAATTCTATGACCCAAGGGAAAAGATGGCAACGCCCATTATTAGTCTCGCTTGAGTAAGCAGCGAGACTCGTAATCTGCAACGCGTATTTTTGTCGTATTTAAGACACAAAAGGGGGATCATTGTGCCAGGCGTTCCTTGCCGAGACCGTGGAAACTAGGACTAAGAATCGCTGCCTGATTGAAGCCACGCATGTTTTGCGAAGAAAGCTTAGAAAAGATTAAATTTAGAGCTTTTCCAAAACATGTCGGTCCGTGAATTCTATTGCTTCAAAGCATTGATTGCTTTGGAACAAGTGAACACTACCGAGTGGTTGAAAAAAATAAGAATCTTAACTAGCTAAACTGCAATGGTTGAGTGTTGTAAACTTTCATTCTATGTAAACGGCTCTTGTGATGAGCACGTGGTTTATTTTTGGTGATGACTGAAATGACGTGCCACGTAAATCACTTTTTGAACTCTGGCAATGATCTAATTTCTCTGGAATCGAGGCCCTTGAATTTTCATGTATTTATACACAAGTATAGCCTGCGACCACAGACGTATTTCTGTTCCTCGCTAACATGCGTACTAGATCAATTCATAAACAAATAAAAAGTATCAACATCGATAAAGTAGGAAGTAAAAAACTTTTAGTGAGTACATCCTGTTTGGCGTAGAATTAACCGCCTCCTCGTTTTTCACTCTAATCTCAAAGCAAGGGAGACTGAATGCTGCTGTAAGAGCGTTCTTGTCAAATAAATCCTGGCAAAGACCATCCCTCAAATGAGATCATCATGAAAAATTTGAAGGACACCTGCTTTACCTGCACCCTTTACAGATCTCAACTAATTTTGAACCTTACTCAACATACAAAAAGATACAGGTTGTTTCTACAACAGGTTCAGGGCTGGCCTCCAAAAACTTTACAATATGTTGGCTGGCTAATAACTGCTGTTCCTTAATTGGCTTCTCTTCCTCTGCATTTGGGGTGATTAGTTTGTAAAACGCATCAATCCGGACAAAACTTTCCTCTGACACAACCTATAAAAAAGAAATGCACCGATATTTTTTTATTGCATGGAGATAGCAAACCTCTTAATCAAAAGTCTCAAATGAAGAGACAAAAATATAAAGAGTGTCAGTAATCAGTCAAGATTTCTAAATAAGTTAACAGGATAAAATCAGCTGTTCGCACTGAAGGATCACTAATAATAACATCTGATAAAACTAATCCATGTTTTTGTTTGCGATGTCTAAGTAAAAAAAGACTGCCAGGGTAAAAAAGAAACTTACAATGAATTAACAGTTTACTGTGATACATGCAACGAATAATCAACATTTTTGTGCTTGCAAATATTATACTATTAACAGTAACCTGAGATCAGGCCCAATTTGAGTGGTTCTCACACATTCTCTCTAACCGCTACCACTAAAATTGGGCCTGATCCAAACTCATTCATGTTTGTGCTCGCTGATCTGATTGGCTGTCGGAAACGCCAGAAGTTCAAAGTGCTTATTCCTTGCATGGTTGTTTTCGTGAATGATCCATTGTCTGCGGAGAGAAGGATCGATTTTGCTGTCTTTTTTATTGTTTTATGGTCTTACGGTAGGAAAATATGGCTAAATATGTGCCATGGAAATTCAGAAAATTCATATGGTTGTTCATATCTTGTCAGGATTTGCGTTATTTACGGAGAGTGAGTGTATCGCGGAGTTGAATCCCTCTGCAAGTTGTTGATTGCTAACAAGGTGCCTTTTGATTTACCAACAAACGGGTGCAATCAAAATACTGTCCATCTTAAAACTGGTTTCATTTGAAAGTTTAGCAGGAAATGACTTCTCTGAACGGGGTACACAAGTGGAGGCTCACTGCGAAAGAAACCTCAATCGCCAACTGTGAAGTATTAGACGAAAAATATCGCATCGCTGTTCAAGGAATTTTCAGTGTCAACAGACTGGTTGTTTGTCTTCGCTTTTTGTAAAAAATAAACCAGGAAAACTGGTGTCCTTGCTCGTTGGCTGTTTGCTTTTGTTTTTAAAGATTTATGTACTGAAAATCGGGGGAAATTGCCGAGGAAAATGTAAGTACACCTGAACTCGCGTCTCGATCCCGACACTCGAGCAGTACTGTATAATGGGCTTGTCACTTGACTGATCTTTCAAACAACAAATTCATCAAACAGACCACATCTGTTACTGTGGATTGCGACAAACGGTTTTTGCATCCTTGCTATTTCCGTAAAACAAAGTTTGTGCTTTCAAAAAGTATCCACGCACAAAGGGCTGGTTGAACGGCTGACAAAATTCCCTGCTTGTTCTGAACTTTTAAAACGAAAACGTAAACTTTTTGCTGTCAGCACCTAGCTTAAAATTACCGCCAATCAACAAAAAGTAAACAAACAAGCACGAATGTCTTATAATTGTAAATTCCGCTGCAGAGCAGTTCCAAGTTTCTTGTCTGCAAATGATAACAAATGAAATAGCCTTGGAGGAACAAGCCCTAGGATTTCAAATCCTATGGATAACAATTTTTTGGTTCCGTGCCCAGAGATCATGGGAAACTGTCATTAACAATAATTTTTTTGGTTCCGTTAAAATTCAAGGCTACCCACTTTTATTTCTTATAATGTACAAAAACATGTTGTTAAACATACTTTTAAATTAAAGAACATCAGTGTGTACTATTATTTACAATTCTTCAATGTCTATTAAAATGTCAGAAGAAGGTCAAGGTAAGTGTTAAATGTGTGAGCATTAAAGTGTCAAAAACTCCAGACTCCTCTTCCATCCAACTAAAGAAGTATACCCAAATGTTTGTTACAGATCTATTGCAGTGCTCCAAGCTGCGACCATTTTGGTCTCCATGGCGAGTAGAAAAAAATTTTGGCAACTAAAAATTGCAGTGAAAGTCGCCAATTTGGCAACCTGAGTTCAGTTATCATGTGGCAAGCCATTCTAGTTTTTCTAGTAGTTATTGTTTTAAAGATAAAGTGAGATAGACATTTGTATTAAATATCATTAATGCTCTGTTCTCTTTATAATTTGCCTAGATTTCACTCAGGCTGGTTCTCTGGGTATTAAGCCTTGAGATGTTGCGTGCACCTGAAATTCGATTGCGATGGTTGGGCAGCCATTTTGATTCTTTCAAATATTCATGTAGTGTTACACAAAGTGTTCCTTTTTTCTGGTGAACAGTATTTTATGTCTGGCGACCACCTTTTAATTTTAGGTTGCCAAAAGGCCACTTTGGAAAAAGTTGAACTTGGAGCACTGTATTGTCTTTTTATATAGAGAGTTCCGGGCCTCATCATCAGTTTCAACAGTGAAATATTGTCACTAGAAGACCACCTTAGATTCTATATTTTTTTTAAACTTTTGGAGTCATATTTTTTTTCTTGTTTTTAACTGCAAAACATCTTTCATGCACGAGTCATCAGTAACATGCAATACCTTTTGGGAACAAATCAAAATGGTGGAGGGAAGAAAAATGATACACAAGCTGAGTCATCAAGAATTGCTCTACTAGTTAAGAATCTGAGTGGAAAAATACTATAATATGTCAGCATATGTCACTGTGAAAATGTTTTTTGGTTCCTTTATTTAAAGATCACGGTAACAACACAGTGCCAGACAGGATTGTTACCGTGAAATCCTAGGGCTTAGGAAGCCTCCCGTAATTGTGACTTTTGTTTTTTGAAATATTTCATCGCTGTTGTATGAATTTAAAAGTTGCAAATTGCACGCTCAAGTAAGAGGTTTCAAATTACAAGTGACATATGCAAATTGTCCTTACATGTTAGCACTTTCTATCTCACTGCAAATAGGTACGCTCGGAGATTTCTCATATCCTTTTTACAGCTTTAACTTTACCTTTCTAATTTTGCTACACTTCTTGTAGTTTTTTTTGAACAGCTTACAAAAACAAATGAGAGTTTTCTAAAAAGATTCACAGCTGCTATCATAAACTTCAAGATCATATTTCTCAGTAGGTTTAATGGGCCCTTTGCAGCTAGCCATTCATGTTGCTGGAGAGCAAAAGTCGCACTAGGGCAAGATAAACAATGGAAATTACCATGTAAAATTATGTATGCCTTTTCAGCATGGCGGTTTTGTGCCACCTGAAAGGCTAGCTGCAAAAGGCCTTTTTTTCTAAGCTGTCGCGACTAACACAATTGAGCTTACATACCGTTACAAAATATGCGTTAACAATCAAACCGCTCTCATAATTCTTAAGATAGAATTCATATAAAAATACAGCGACTCGGTTATCCGAAATTCAAGTTCAAAAAACCTGCCATTGGTCCTTTTTTTGTCACCTAAAATCCTTATGCATGACATGTACATGTCAAAGGGCTGACGGTAGATGCGACTTGTTGCTCTATGTTTCTCAAGGAATAAATCATTTTCTCTAAACCCTTTCAAGTGATGAATATTCAGAATGGAAGTTTGTCGAAACTCGATTCTCAAGTCTTGAAACATGAACAATTTGTTCCACTTTTGAGATGCAAGGATTGAGTTTCAAGTCTTGAGTCAAGATTGTCAACTTATTTTTGAGAGGTACTGTTTTAACAAAGTTACTGTAAGTTACATGTATGCACAGCAAGATAAGCGGACAGTTTTTTTTAAAAAAACTTACCACAGCACCATTGCTACCATTCAAAAAGTCTGCCCGCACATCCTCTGACAAGTTGTCCATCAATGCCTGCAGTTCCAGTACCTGACACACCTTAGAGATATCTCCTTCACGCTGTGCTGCGAGCTGTGCAGCCTGATCTCGCTTAGCATTTTTCTTTTGAAGCTTTTGATGCTGCAGATGAAGAAGGCAATAAATAAGATTATGTTAATCTTTGCACTTCCTTATCTTGTTTTCAGCACTGCATCAGTCTTCGACAAGGAAGCATAATAAGCCATTATTTTACATCTCGTCCTGAGCCTCAAGTGTGAAGTCATTTTGGTGTACAGATGACACTTATTTTCATATGAAGTATTTTGCAGTTGGTTTCATTTTGAAACAAGGATTTTCTCTTTAAGCCTGGTAGTCATATGTCGGAGAAATCCCAGATGGGATTTTACTGTTTCCTGACAGTCCCAGATTTTGCTGACTATTAAAAAACTGGAAATCATAGACATCCCAAATCCTGCAAGATGACTGGGGACAAATCAGGAAAATCAACAAAGGGAACTCAACTACTGTCCTGATAATTAAGTGATGTATCTTGGAAACACTGATTGATTTATAACAACTTATTAAATTAAGAACCCTGCTATCACTTACTTCAGTGTAGATCTGAGTAATGTTCTTTTGTAGATCTCTAGCAAACTCAAGGTTCTGTTCTACTTGCGTCAGTTGACCAACTGCAAGCTACAACAAACAAAGGCAAGGGAAAATTTAGTTCTCCATGCAAGATTTTTGTACAGTCAAACCCATAGTATGTAAGGGACTCATAGAACATGTCAGTATTAATGGGGGAACAGCATTAGGCAAGTAGGTCATGTTGTAAGAATAATGCTAAAAAAAGGACATTCTCATTGTCCAACTTAACACCTCTAACTTCCACAAAGCCATTACTCTGTGAATTGTATCCATGGAAAAACTAAAAAGTCACTCATTTATAAATAACTGACTCAAAGTCTGCACAGACTCAATTGTGGTAATAAAAGCCAGCACACAGTTCAAAATGAAGTGTGAAGTGCCTGTAATAGTGAGGTTTACTTTGTTTAAGAATCCACTGATGCCGGGAAGTAGGCTTATATTCAAGGCAATATTCTTCTTTCCTTAACTTAAGCCTTCCAACAGCTGTTTACTGAAAATCCATCTCTGTCTGGAGTGTCAATTTTTTATCACTTCTATATGAGTGACTCACACACTAACTGTTAACTTTCACACAAAAATAATCAAAGGTGGAAGACTATGATGAGTCCCTGTTCACCGGGTAAAATTCTAACAGGTGACATAGCCTTGAAAAAGCAGTATAATAGAGATATACGGTGACAAATGACACAAAGATGGATTGAAATTGCCACGTTGACATATTCAAATACAATAATAGAATACTGACTGGGAAATGGCTTCCTCCTTAACGCATAAAATGGCAGGCTTTGAAATTTGAATTAGGGGATGCACGTCCTCCACAACCCAATTTCCCCCCCGCCCCAACCCCGGTGAAAAAAAGTGCCCCTATGATAGATGCATTGAAACAAACAAGGGGTACATGGCATTCCAGTAAGGGAAACTGGAAATTTCAAGTGTTCCTATTTATATTCATGACCAAGAGATGGGAATGGGTGTGTAGCTCAAACCGTGAGCCTAAGTGCTTACTGCTGTTCAAATACCATAGAAAGTTTAATGTCAAATTTAAGAGAAAAATATACAAATAATCCAAAATAAAATCACTCAGGCTTAACTGGTCATGTGCGCTGCCTGATACGAAAACCCAAAAACCCAATGGGAAAAAAAAAAACGGGAACGTATCCCCCAACCGATGCAGTTGCACAACCACTGGGAGTTAAAGGTAAAAAACAATCAGTAAATAAATAAAGTAAGATAAAGTAAAATAAAGTAAAAAGTTGAAAGTTTGAGAACTGAGATGACTGCATTACAACTGTCAAAACCTTACACACATAACAACAATAGAGTCAATTAACACCATAACGGCTCACGTGCGTTCATACCAGTAGGAAAGTACTTCCATTCTGTGTCACTGTCACTGCATTTTTCAGCTCGGCCGAATGTAAATACATATCTTTCATTGTAACAGTTTTTGTTACTTACCATCCTGACATAATCAGTTGAATTAAGGATCGTAATTTGAAGTTGAAATGGAACCAATCAATATTTGCAATGCTAAGCTCAGCTATTTTTAACTTACTATGCTATGGTAAGAGACCAAGCAGGTGATGTAATTTCCGAAAGATCACTGCTATGGCACAGTTAACTTTGTACTTGTTTCGGTTCATATTTTTCACAATAAAAATTCAATATTCTCATAACACTTTAAATTCTATGTTTTTCTGAATTTTGTAGTACTTTGTATTGTTTTGTTTTGTTGACAGAATAACCGGTTTCCAGGAAATTATTTAAAGGCCTGGGCCCCAATCGAAAAATAAACGTTCGTACACTACATTTGTACTGCACAATTATCTATTAATTTCAATGAAGCATGACAACCCTGACAGCTGTCTGCTAAATATAAGAAATTTTCCTAACCAAGAAGAACATTTAAGTTAAATAGTGAATTTAAACGATCACGAGATTGCGTAAAGAGAGGGTGACTTCACGTCAAACGATACATCATATTCAAGAACGAATCTAGTCTTCAACAAACGGTATCTAATATTAAATAGCACTTCTATGAAACAGATTAAGTTTAACTGTATAAATAACACTAAGAAAAACAGGTAGGGTGATACGTCTGTTAAAGAACCGGACAAATGCGTTTGAAAGAAGAAACTCTTCGCTTTTACTAAACCTACTCATTTTCCGCCACGTTTGAAAAGTTGCGCAAAAAATTGGCCATTTCAAAACGCACCTTCTGATCGTCATTTAGTGTTTGCCCCTCGTCCACCAGCTTCTTGTACGAATCAAGCTTTCCCTGCGAACAGAAACAATGTCTCAGCGGCGAGAAACACATGTCAAAAACTCAACCATCATGGCGTGGTCGAGCCGTCGGTGGATCGTGTTCGATCGCTCGCCTCAAATGTAAGTTAACTCACCTTCCGTTTTTCAAGATTACGGACTTTCTTTTCCAAGACATTCAGGACAGCTTTGGTAGCGTCGTTGTTCTCCATCTGCGCTGAGATCTGCATGGAAGATTGCGATGAAGCACTTGGCATAATAGTCACTAGTTACTCCTCCGAGTTACAAGCCCTTACTGTCTTTGGATTGTACCATGTGCTCTCTGCCTGACGTCATCACCGCTATCCTCAAGGGGTGCGGTTGCGGATGGCATCATGGGAAATATTAGTGGGTAGGCTAAAAATGACCAAATACACCTATTCTTGGAAAATATTAACATACCGCATTTATTTCATCAAGCGCCCTGGGCGCTTATTAGATTTTTGCACCTACAATCTTGGACAAAATAGATGGAAAATTTGTACCCGCTTCCCCCCAGATCAAGGATGGGAAAATGGCGCGGTTTGGCCTTTGCGCGGTTTTCTGCTTGATCATGATTTGGGGGTGATGGAGGTTTACTGGCATTTTATTCTGTCCAAGATTGTAGGTGGGCGCTTATTCCAGGCTGGGCGCTTATTTAATTTTTCGCCGGTTTCAGCAAGTAGTTAGTTTATTTTGTAACCAAACAATAAATAATAATAAAACGTGAAGATGTACCAAAGAATAATTTTAACTTTTCATTGAACGTTCAGACTTTACATGTAAAATACTGAGAAAACTTGGTCTTTAGGGAAGACTCTAAGAAATACTTTGTCGATTTCAATCTCATTATTAGTACTTAGTAAGGCAAACTTTTAAGAGGAGGGGCCCGTGGTCGGTGCATATTCGAGGCTGGGCGCTTATTAACTTTTCCTACCTTCAAGTTGGGCGCTTATTCGAGGCTGGTCTCACTTAGGGTGTTCTGGACAAAACGCCATCATACTTAGCCGTGAAGGTCTCGCTTAGGCCGCACGTGAAAAAATAAAAAATATCTGTATTGTCTGTGTTTTAACATGGTCTCTTTTAGGGGTCAAAAAAAGCTTGGACTACGCCCAGATCGGTCTCTTTTAGGGGTTTAATTCAAAATTTCCGACGAGCATCCCCACCCCTTCGTATGCGGGTCCCCCCCCCCGGGTGTGGTGCTCATTCAACGAACCGGTTTTTTTTGTTTTCTGTAATATGACTGGACTAACTGTTGGGTCTGTCCGGCTGATTTTCAGACAACTAGTACACGCTATACCTTGCGTGATTGAGACACTTAGCTGACTTTCGTTACTTGGATTACTTTAGTTAATTTGCGTGCTTACTTGGCTTTATACAGTAGAATCCCGATAACTCCAACTCGGAAAACTGAAACTCCCTCTAAATCTAGACTGTTCACAGTCGTCTATTTTTCCGTAAGATCATCGAGATCGAGAGCTTTGCGCCGTGACCGGCTGCCATCTTGCATGAGTGTCAAAACTACTTAGGGGGCGAGGGCGGGGGCGGTGACGTCCGCCCCCTCGGTACATAGCCGTGACGGTAAGTGGCATATCTAAACGATCTCACGAAAAAATAGGGGACTGTGAACAGTCTACTCTAACTCGAACTAAGTTCAATTTCCCTTGGATTTCAGGGGCGTAGCGTAGCATTTTCAAGGTGTACACACGAGAAAAAGTTATCAGG